TTCCAATCTTGATCACTCTCAGGTTAATGAGCCGATAATTTACATTTTCTTCATAGATTATTGTTTTTTTTTTCAAGTTTCTTTTTCTTCAAGTGGATAGTCTGCGGTTAATGCATGCATTTATGCTTTCGTTCCAAGAAAAATAACTTTTTGACTTTGGCTGATATCTCCCTTCTGGAGAGTTCAAATTTATGTTAAGTTTTTCTACCTTATGGCTTTATTATTATTATTATTATTTTCACTTACGAGGAGGAGAAACTTTCTTCTGGATATGTTGACAATTTATGTTTGAAGTATATTTTATCCTTAGAGGAGTTTACAAAAATGTACCTCAATCAGAATAAACTTAAAAAGGGAAAGGGGAAGATTGTTGGGAAGGGGAATTGTTGCGAACCTCAAGATGACTAGGGCTTCTAGCACAAGACCTTAGCAAATCAACTACGCCTTTTGTTTTGATCAATTGTGGGACATTATTCATAATTTCCTTCACCCTGGCTTGGGATTGACATGCAGTATAACCTTCCCTTTTGCACATTGTTATTCTTAATGCACAATTTCTTGAATATTTGCTTTCGACATCTTGGGAAACTTATATTCTTACTTCTTGACATAAACCAGGTTCAGACTATGAAGTGTTACTCTACTACTTTCTTTCTGCTAATGCTTACGGTTTTATATAGTTTGCTCATTTAAGCACCTCTTCTTTTTTTGTCCTCCTTTCTCCAAAGAAAGATGCCATCTCAAAGGCCCTATCAGCAAAAAATGTATTTCTGCTGCATGGTCCCCCAGGAACCGGAAAAACCACAACAGTGGTGGAAATTATCTTACAAGAAGTAAAGCGTGGATCAAAAATTCTAGCATGTGCTGCTTCAAATATTGCTGTCGACAACATTGTTGAGAGACTTGTTCCTCACAGGTAACTAAATACTGCAAGTTTCTTGAGTTAATTGGTCAAATGAAAGCTGCAACTCCAGAGAAAAAGGCATCTTGTCATCATATAAAGATTATTTACCCCAGAATAGACATTTGTGCACAAGTTTCTTACAACAGTATGCTGAACTTTGGTCCATTATCAAGTTGAATGTTATTGGGATTGGTTTCACAAATGTTGCGCATAACCTTATATTGATATTTATGTACGTGTGTCTGAACATGTATGCATAGGCAAAAGAAAACAAGGAACATTAGTTAGAAAACAATAGTATATCTTTTGATTGAAATGGGATGTTTGACATAACAACTTGGCGCTTGGATTGTTGAGGAATCTTGGATAGACTGCTAATGCCATTCATTTTTCCTGCCCTGGTGCTATTATTTGCATTGTTTCCTCTTTTCTTTTTTTATCCCCAAAGAGGGTAGCAAATAGATGAACTTATCCTAACATTCTTATGATTAGAGTAAAGTTGGTGAGACTGGGTCATCCTGCTCGTCTACTTCCTCAAGTCTTGGAGAGTGCTCTAGATGCCCAGGTATGCACAATCACCTATTTGGCCATAAGAACTAAAGCAGATTCTTCAGCTTCGTGATGGTGTCTTTTTTTTTTTCTCAGTGCAATAAACCATAAAATTAAGATAAAATTTTCTTCTCATAAATTCCTTCGTTTCTAGGTCTTGCGTGGGGACAATAGTTCTCTTGCAAATGATATCCGGAAAGAGATGAAGGTAAAAATTTGACAATGCTTACACTTCAGAGTCTTGCGTCTTATCTATCAAATGTCGCATGTGAGATTATAGCATGTTAGTTTTCTTGTTACCTTCCCTAACATCTAGGAGTTGAGGACAATCTTTTCTGGTATATTTTTAAAATCAAACATATTGTTCAGGATTTTACTCAGGTTCCTCCATATGAAAAACCCTTTTCCTGTCTTGTTGGTATAGATAAACTATCAGCAGCCTATCCTATCTTACAACTCGGCTGTATTTTTAATTTTATTGTTATTTTGTTTGCTAGTTAGGCCCACATACAGTAGCAGGAGCCTGTAATGTGATGGACTATCGATAGTGCACAGCCTATAGAGCTTTGGGGAGATGAATGGGTTGTTCTCTAGGTCTTTTGGGTACTTTGAAGTGAGGGGAGCCATTCTATTACTTGGTTTTGGTTAAGTCGGTGATCTTTATTTGTTCAGACAGTTCTTTTTGCGACCATGAGATCTTTTATTCAAATTTGTTCGTTGCTATTTTGAAAATAGAGAAATGCTTTGCTTGAGTGAGGGCGTATTAATTTGCCTTGTTTCTTTTTGTATTCTGTCACTTTAGAGGCATTTTTCTTGAATGATTTTCTTCCTAAGTCGGTCCTTTGTTAGTCCAACTGCTTTGGTTTGATGAAATAGTTTTCCCTCTTATTCTAAAAGAATTATTCTTGAGCTTCTTCTGAGCAACTATTTCAGGCATTGAATGGGAAGCTTCTGAAAGCCAAGGACCGAAACACACGGAGAGACATCCAGAAGGAGCTTAGAACATTGTCAAAGGAAGAGCGGAATAGGCAGCAGTTAGCAGTAACAGATGTAATAAAAAATTCAGATGTTGTTCTAACAACTTTGACAGGGGCATTTTCTCGCAAACTGAATAATATTTCATTTGATTTGGTAATAATTGATGAAGCTGCCCAAGCTCTTGAAATTGCATGCTGGATAGCTCTGTTGAAGGTAATGATTAGCAATGCATTATTGAAGTAAGCATATCGACGATTGTCTGATGAGGTTGACACAGATTGCTTCTCAACTGTGGATGTACTAGTATATTCTTTTCATGTTTTTGCTTGCTTCCTTGATATTTTTTCTTTCATACATTTCTTATTTTTCATTTAAATCCTAGATATCTGAAGAAAAGAGTAGCTGATTTGTTGTTTGGGTAGTGATGATTTTCTTCGAGACATCGACTTGAAGACAATAGTTTAATGCTGAAAGAAGACATTTTTATTTGAAATGCTGAGCTTTTTCTGTTTCTCTAGAAAAAGGAAAATGTGGAGAATGCTTTCTAGAAGTTCCACAAATTTCACGGATTCAAAAGTTGATGTTGGCAAATATGGAAATATTGGTTGTACTCGTGTCAAACTCAATTTAAAGGACATGATGCTTGTTTCAGGCATCAAGATGCATTCTTGCCGGAGACCATCTTCAGCTTCCTCCAACAATCCAAAGTGTTGAAGCAGAGAAGAAGGGACTTGGAAGAACCCTATTTGAACGCCTGGCTGACATGTATGGAAATGAAGTAACCTCTATGCTCACCGTCCAGTATCGTATGCATGAACTTATCATGGATTGGTCATCAAAAGAGCTATATGATAGTAAGGTACTCGTATCATACCTGGATGTGATCTATAGATTGTACTTTTAATTGTTGGACTTAGAACTGTTTGGCTGATCATGAACAATAAAATTATGAACTTCGATTGTTGAATTACAGATCAAAGCTCATTCAAGTGTTGCTGCACATACGCTTTATGATCTTGAGGATGTGAAAAAGACATCATCAACTGAACCTACCATTCTGCTCATAGACACAGCAGGGTATTGCATTCCAACCTTAACTGAACATTGGATATAAGACAAGCTTGTCCAGAAGCCAGCATGCCCTGTCTACGTTACTGGAAATAGAGAGAATTACAATGCGGTTTCCTGAGACTAATTTGTTGATAATAATGATGGTTCATAATGCTCTTCCTCAGGTGTGAAATGGAAGAAAGGAAGGACGAGGAAGAAAGCACTTTAAATGAAGGTGAAGCTGAGGTTGCCATGGCGCATGCAAAGAGACTAATCCAAAGTGGCGTTCAACCTTCTGAAATTGGAATTATAACTCCTTATGCTGCACAGGTATAAAGGTTATTTTACTCGGACTGTTCTAGAACTGATGCTTACACGAAAACTCCGATCAAATGAATCAAATATGCTTTCTATTTCTAGATCTAATATTGGATTAATTGCAGGTTGTGTTACTGAAAATGTTAAGAAGCAAAGAAGACAGACTTAAAAGCATTGAAATCTCCACAGTTGATGGCTTCCAGGGAAGAGAGAAGGAAGCTATCGTCATCTCCATGGTTCGATCAAATTCAAAGAAGGAGGTAACATCTCTTGTATAAAAGCTTATGAACTTCAAATTTTCGAGGACTTGCATTAGGAAATTCTTCTAAAAACGATGCAGGTAGGATTCTTGAGCGACCGTAGACGAATGAATGTAGCTGTGACTCGAGCTAGAAGGCAATGTTGTCTGGTCTGCGACACCGATACGGTGACTCACGATGCATTTTTGAAGCGATTAATCGAATATTTTGAAGAAAATGGTGAGTATCTTAGTGCCTCTGAGTATCAGAATGAGTAGTAGTATAAGTTTACTTCACTCTTATGCCTTCCATTTAGGCTGGTCTAGGGGGGGAACTGTTATCTGGAAAGTGGAATTTATTGAATTTTCAGGCTTCTCCAAACATGAGTGGAATTTCTTGAATTTCTTGGATTTTCGATTACCCTTTAAACTCTTATAGCATAATTATTCCATCGACTTCTAATAATAAAATGAAGTTGGGGCTCATTAACCCTCTCAGGCTGATGGCCCCTTTTAATAATAATAATATATATATATATATATATCATTTCGAATACATTATCATATCAATTTTCTTCTTATAAATCTCGTGTATTTAGATTACCTATTTATAATAGCATAATATTGTCGTTTAAACTTACATCGGTCTTTTTTTTTTTTTTTTATATATTCCTAAACTCTTGTATCTACTACATATTCTCACTTGCTTATGTATGGCAAATCTTTATTACTCTTGTTGGATAGTTATATATATTCTAATATACGCTTATATTTTTCTTCTATATGATTTTATTTTTCTTTATATACCATTATTATCTAGCAACCATCTAATTTTTTCATAAATATCTATCTATTTTTACTAAGGTATACCACCTTTCAAAAAAAAAAAAATCCTCGAACTCATGCTTCCACCTAGGTGGATAGTACATAATTCATGCAAAAACGAAACAGAAAAAAAAAACTTTATTTTTAAGGTATGATTGTCATGGAATGGTGTTCTTCAAAATCCCAAATGGAATTGGAAAAACTTAGATCATCTTCATAACGATTATAAACTTGAAAGTTTCCGAAGTGATGATGTTCAATATTTTGATGCATTTCCATAATTGAATCCCAATTAAAGCTTTCGTCACTAACCACTTCAACTTCATCACTAGGATCGTCTTTCAAACAATTATTCAATTCTGCTTCCTTATTGTTATTGATTCCTTCCTCTCCTTCTGATTCAATAACTGACTTCTCCTCGACTTCTTCCTTGATAATCCCAAGCTGTTGTAGAAACTCGTTTAGATCAATTTGTGGCTTGTCTTCCACCATATCCATTGTCACCGTTGTTGTCTCCTCTCCTAGTGAAGCTTCGTCTTCTTTCCCATTCTTATTCTCGTCTTCAAGTTTCTTGCAGAGAGAAAAATGAAGTAAAACTAAGCTTAAAATGTCACTATCAACCAAAATACTTGTAGAAATATCGAAAATCAAGATTTTTTATAATAATTTTGATTTTTTTTTTTTTTTTTTTAAGTTCTTATTAGTAAAGTTATATTTTCTAGAAGAAAATTCAAATTCAAAATTAAAAAGTTAAATACCTTAGAAGGAGAAGGGAGGGAAGGGGAGAGAAAGCCATGAGTTCTAAGCTGCTGAAGCCTCTGGTGAATAAGATTAAGACTAGGCTGAGCATTGAGATTAAGCATAAAGGTTGCAGGGCGGGGATTAGGGAACAAAGAAACGAAGTTTTTAGAAGGAACCCATTTGAGGAAATTAGATATAGAACCATTATTAATGTCATTACGAGGAAGATTATGAAGCAAATGGGGAAGATTAAGATAAGCATCAGGGCCATAGAGCTTAGTGGCAGCCTGATCATAAGCCATGGCGGCTTCTTCAGCAGTGGCAAAAGAACCAAGCCAGAGCCTCGTGCGCTTCTTGGGCTCCCGGATCTCGGCCACCCACTTGCCCCAAGTGCGCTGCCGGACGCCGCGGTACTCGCAGGAGGCGTTCTGAGGGCCGCCTTTGCCTCGTGAAGGGCCTTTCTTCCATGGCTTTACGAGTGGGGAAGAATGGACTTTTTTGTCTCTGCAAGTTTCCATTTTGGAGAGCGGAGGGATGAAAGATGATTGTGGGAATTTGGTGAAAGGAGGGGGGGATAATATGTACAGGGAAGCTCAATTGGGGAGTGGCTCTTTAAATGTTGTCACGTTTCTAGCTTTTCCTACGTTCTTTGTTGATTTCAAAAATGATGTTTTGATGCAAATTAATTGTGTTAGTTCTAAACAAAATTGGGTCCCTGAATTTAAGAAATCGTTTTGATCGGACCATTACAAGAACGATACAATAAGAGGCGTTAATGTAATATGGAATTTTCAAGCAAATGATGCAAACTAAAGTAGTATAGATAAGAGAAGTGAAATTGATCACAAACAAACATAAAAAGAGAGGAAAAGTAAGAGAATTAAATGAAGTGTGAGAGAGCTAAGTGTTAATTGGATTCTATAATGGAGCAATCTAAGCGAGTAGAAGAAGAGTGAAGAGTGATGAGTGAAGAGAAAGTCACCTCGATTCATTGTTGAAGTTCACGGGCTCTTCTTTTTCACACGTCTTTGAGCCATGATTCTTGAGACTCCCCTGTTCATCTTTATCCCATGCTCATGTTCATGCTTCCTTCTCTCCTCTCTCTCTCACACACACTCTTGGGGAGTAATTTTGGCTCTCGATTTCACTGCTTTGCACTTCATGAAAGATTAGATCCAACAAAAATCTTACATATTGAGTGTAACTGATATGCAGGGCTAGGCGATCATATCATGCCAATAGCCAAGAACAGCTACCATGTCTTCAATAGCTTACTAGAAGGTATACAAATTGAAGAAGGCTCCTTACGGACTGAAGCAAGCCCCACGAGCAACCAATCGGAATCAATCTCCTTCTTCTCATCCCAAAGCTAAGAAACAAGTGTTATCCACATCTAATTAAATCGTCCCAATCTCGAACCATAACCCATATCAGCCAAAAGATCATAATATATCTAAAATATGCTTAGTTAAAACTACATCCTACTATCTCAAAGCCAATATACTCCCAAACTTAGTCATATGACAACTTCCTCGAAATGACTTTTGACAAGTTGGAAACCCCATCATGTCATCTTTCTTGTGATTCTAGTGCAGTATTTCATCACTGAAAGTCAAAGCTCTAAATAAAGGGTATGCCAAGAATCTGTCCTACCATATGAATGTGAAATTATCCACCGAAATGATTAACAAATCAAAAGAGGTAACCTGAAGAAACAAGAACTTAACTTGCCATCGCTGAAATCAGCTGTCAAGATCAGATAAAAATGTAAACTATTAAATAACTATGAAAATCTGACCGGAATGACAGTACTATCATTTAAACTTTGGACTTCTGGACAAGTTCATTTATCTTTAAGATCTATTGGTGTGCGATCTTTCAGAAACACATTACTACCAAATTTAAAATCTTTCTCCACGGTATGGTTGGACTTCTTTCAACAGAGCTAGAAAATTTTTGAACTCCCTCCAGGAGAGAGACAAGTAAATCACTAGTATAGTGACATGCAAGGAACTTGCATTCCAGAAATAAAGATGAGAAACTGGAAAACAGAAGAGAATACCCGTGGATAACTTCTTTGTTTTTTAAATTCTTATGAACGCATGAAAGCGAGTAACAAATCTAAAATATTTGATTTATGTTATACAAAGGTAATATCTAGTCAAGATAAGCAAGCGTATGAAATCATTTTTACCATAAATTCTTTAATTTAAAAAAGAAATATTAATGGATAAAAGATGACTACCAATAGAGTCTCCTCCTCCTCAGCTGTCCAGGGTAGTTTCTTCCGTCTTAATGGATGAGTTTCTGGACTTGTACTGCACAGTAAACAAAGTCAGCATTAGTGTTTGTTAAATGCGAAGAGCACAAAAGCAAAATACACCCTGAACTTAAGCGTGAAGTGCACATAAGACATTTTAAATTTCTTTAAAAAATTATAAAAAATTAATCGCTATGAGGAGCTGAGGCACGTGCGACTCAGTGAGGGCACCTCGCTTCTTCTGAAGCATGGTGTAGAACATGAAAATTTTAATCCAACTACTTTATAGTGGATTCTAGTCTTCTGGTCAATACAATAATTCCATACTTGAAAATTATATAGTTATCCAGAGAAACAATGAGGGGTAATAGCAAATAGTAACTAACTACTATATAACTATGAAGAAACTAACTGATGACATTTCTGTCGAAATCTTATGGAGTATCTAGAAATGATAGATTCGTCATTGCCATCATCAGAAGATTTTTCTCCTTACAGTGAAAATTGCACGAGCAGCTTTGCCTTCGCTGTCATCAGTTTGGTACTGTAAACCATTTTGCATAGCTGCTGGTTCAACTGGCCCACGACCTTCGTGGAGAATTTCATCAATGTCATGCTGCTCGGTGTCTTTTTGACCATCTTCCTGTTCTGCAACATTTCCTCGACACTTTTGGTCCACCACACCTGCAACTGTATTGCCTTGACACTCTTGGTCCAGCAATTCGTAGCCATTTTCCTCGCCTAATAAAGCATCAGATGCTACACTCGAAGGACTTGCCTTGTTTTCTCTATGATTGGAATTGGCAATATGCAATGGTTTTGATAGCTCTGTTATTTGTTCGGTATCTGTATCTGTTGTCGATTGATGGTCAACAACTTCATTTACACGTTCTCCATCTAGACTTACTTGATTGTCTTTACTTTCCAAGTCCACATCTTCACAAATTTTAGCAACATCCTCAACTACAGCTCTTTGTGAAGGGTCAAAATCCTTTTGTTGCAATACCTCTTGAAGAACTACTGATTGATGTTCCAAAGCAGTACGAACAAACGAAGCAACATTTTTTTTTACCAATGCAACGTGCTTCTTAGCTTCGAGGTATTCTGATATAGCAAGTGAATACAAGCAGAAAGGACAACAAAAGTCACCTTCATCGGTCATACTAGTCGAGGAACTCAAGCACTTGGCATGAACCACCAAAGGACAATCACTAATGTTACAACACAACAACTGACCACCCTCATTACATTTCACACAAACTGCAAGAACTCTACTGTCAGCTAATGGAAAAGAATCGTGATCAACCATACATTGCAAACTAAGAAATTCTTTTTTTCTCGTGGCAATGTCTATCGTTTCATGATATCCATCACTATCACTTAACAAATCTTTCTCTTTCTCATCCGGATACACACCAACCTCCATATTTCTAGCAACAGTCTTTGACATAAATCCACTAGGAGACATAGTATTTGTTTCATTTACATGATAATCATGCCCAGAGTCACACTTGGAATTGTCAGGGCTGGTGTTATGAAGGTTTCCTTCAGCAGGAGAAGGATTAGATGTTTTTGGTTCAAAAGGCAGTTCACTTCCATCTTTCACTTTCTCGACACAAACAACTTCCAGCATGTCACCATCTTGTGTACTAGCCGGCATAGTATAACAAGAAATCCATGATTGATCCTGATGCGATTTCTTTGACCCAAAATGCACATCCTCTACAAGTTCGTCGTCCACCAAAGTTATCTGATGTTCATCCAAGCGATCAGTATCATCTCTCTCATTTTGCAGCACACTTCTTTCAGATGAATCTTCTAACACCTCTGTTTCATGTGAAGAAGCCACTTCCTGTTCTGAAAATGAAGTATGCGCAGAATGCTGCTTAAGCTTCTTGACATTAATGTAACCATCATCACATCCAGGTAACTGTCTAGCCTCGTCTTCAGACGTAAATTCAACACCACTCCTTTTAGAAGGTAACAAACTAGAGATAGGTGGGTTCACCACTGATATTCTTCTATCATCCTCAAGTAAAGGGCTTCTTTTACCCTTCTCATTTTGACCTCGAGGACCAGAGGAGCTAATATCAAGTCTCCCGCTGAGCTCGATACAATCCTCATTATTCAGACAAATGTTATCCCTCTTATTTATGGGTGTTAACCCACTCTTTTGCATTAAGAAATCAGCACAAGGATGTGTACCATCGAGAATTGCATCTTTCATCTGTTCAAAAAGAAATAAAACAACCAGTTTACAACCGACCATACACGACGAAGAGGATCGAAGCAAATAAATTAGAGATAAGTCTTGAATTCTCTACACCTTATGTAATGTGCAACGCATGGATGCTCTTTTTTGATCAGTAAAGGATCTAACATCCCATTTTAACATATCTGGTCCAGCCACTCTTAAAGCAGATTTTGGAGTCTATTTCAATGCATACCAAGTTGAAAACCAGAAAGTATGTATCAGGCTAAGTTCACTTAAAAAAAAACATATTGAATTACAGGGCCAAGAACTTCAGAAACCTAAATACAAAGATTTGAAACAGTATTACCTCCTTATAAATGCGTTTAACAACATCTTCACATCTCTCAGATGAATCAAACATAACTTTTGATTCTTGAACAGGAAGAACAGTTTCTCCAATATAATTTAAAGAACCAAACAAACCCTCCAAGCATTTCAATGAAACCATCTCCACGCCATTCTTTCTAGTACCATCAAGTAATTCTGAAACGTTATCAATTACATCTGTAAAAAGAAGAAACACTGACTTGTACAATTTTAACGCTCAAAAAAATTGATTCTAGCGCGGCTAGAGAATCGACAGTGAAATACCATGTAATAGAGATGGTTTCACTTCCTCGAAACTTGCAAGGGCTTCGATTGTCCAACGCCAAGCAAGAGATGAAGTAGAGGCAGATTCGGTTTCATTCTCCATTGGGAATCAATATCAAGAAACTGCATTAGCAATATTGCCAAGTGAAGCTCTGAAGTATGAGCGGTCTACTCAGCTAACATTAGCGCTAGAAAATGCAGAATCGAAAGCTAATGCCACAAGGGAGATCATCAACAGGCGATAAACACGATCATTTAGTGGCGTTCCGCCATTTTAATGAACCGTCGAAGTTAGACACATACGATTTACATCAACCTGATGGTGGCTCGGTAATCGATGAACCAAAATTATTTAAATTCTTGTTTATTTTTCTTAATTGGGAAATTTTTTCCATTATTAGTTCCAATTTTATATCCAACTTGGTAAAATATATATATATATATATATTATTTTTTTATTATTATAGTTGAAAGTAAAAATTTCAAACTACGATCGAGACCTGTATGCACGGCTACGATCAAGATTGAGACAAGAACGTAGAATATCTCATAACGATAAGAGGTTATAAGATATTTTAAAACCCTTTTTTCTTTGAAGGCTTCCTTTGACCGAGACGATTCCCTTTAAACAATTCCACTAGTTAAAAACGAGTGTAACTCACGAGCTACAAAAGGTTGATTGTGGGCGGAAAAAAAATTGTAATGTCCCTTTGTTGAGGATTGTTGGGAGATGAGTCTCACATAAGCTAATTAATTGGTTGATCATGGGTTTAAAGTAAGGAATATATCTCCATCGGTATAACCACAAGGATTACTTAGTCACGTCAATAGAATCCTCAAATGTCGTTATGAGTCTCGAAGGTATAGTCAAAAGTGACTCAAATATTGAACAAATGGTGTATTGTGCTCGAGGGAGCCTCGAAGGTATAGTAGTCAAAAGTGCTCTGTTGAACAAATGATGTATTTTGTTCGAGAGCTCCATAGGCCTTAGGGGAAGCTTAGAGAGGAGTCAAGTCTTGATTAAGGGAAGACTGTTTCAGGGCTCTAGGGAGGCTGTTCGAGGACTCCAAGGTCTTAGAGGAGGCAAGTCTCGATTAAAGGGAGGTTGTTTGAGGGCTTCGAGGAAGCTATTCGAGAACTCCATAGGTCTCAGAGGAAGCTCAGAGAGGAGTCAGAGCTTCGATTAAAGAAAAGTTGTTTGGAGAGTCGAGCGTCACTTAAAGAGAAGTTGTTCGAGATTCCCTAGAGGTGTGAGCTTCGAAAATTGTGAAGATACTCTAATGGTGTGAATTTACCCCCAACACCTTGGCGATTAGCCAATAAATTGAAAAAATGAAGCATAGATTTGGACAATGTAAATGAGATCAACTGTGAAACGAAGCTCCCAATCACAATTTCTTAGTTTCTAATGCTTCTTCAACTTCAGAGAGACCGCCTTCTCTCAACTGCAACCGCCATTAAACCCTTGCAAAACCCTCTGAACCAGAACAGCTTCGAGCAAAACTACCGCCAAATTTGCAACCTTCTTCTTTCCTTCACCCATTCCCGATCACTCGCTAGAGGCCTCCAGCTCCATGCACACATCGTCAAATTTGGATTACAAACCATTCCTCTCGTTTCCCACCATCTCATCAACTTATACTCCAAAACCCAATTGCCGCTTTTTTCTCTGCAGGTTTTTACTGAAGCCCCGACAAAGTCTTCCACCACTTGGAGCTCTGTTATCTCCGCATTTGCCCAAAATGAGGCTCCATTGCTTGCCCTTGAATTCTTTCGACGAATGGTGAATGTTGGGATTCGCCCAGATGATCATATTTATCCTAGCGCCACTAAGGCTTGTGGGTTTTTATGTAGGAGTGATCTTGGGAAATCTGTACATTGTCTTGTTGTCAAGACGGGATATGATTGTGATGTGTTCGTCGGAAGTTCGCTGGTGGATATGTATGCAAAATGTGGGGAGATTGGGGATGCCCGCCATGTGTTCGACGAAATGCCTGAGAGGAATGTGGTGTCTTGGAGTGGAATGATTTGTGGGTATGCTCAACTGGATGAGAGTAGCGAGGCATTGACATTGTTCAAGCAAGCTTTGGTTGAGGATGTTGATGTAAACGACTTCACATTCTCCAGTGTGATTCGGGTTTGTAGCTGCTCCACACTTCTTGAATTGGGGAAGCAGATCCATGGACTGTGCTTGAAGATGAGCTTTGATTCCTCGAGCTTTGTTGGGAGTTCTTTGATTTCTTTGTATTCCAAGTGTGGGATTATAGAAGGGGCTTATCAAGTTTTTGATGAGATACCCATCAGAAACCTTGGCATGTGGAATTCACTACTGATAGCCTGCGCTCAACATGCTCATACAGAGAGAGTGTTTGGTTTATTTGAAGAAATGGGAAGTTTGGGGATGAAACCAAATTTCATTTCCTTTTTATCTGTTCTTTATGCTTGTAGCCACGCAGGTTTGGTTGAAAAGGGGCGAGAATATTTCAATCTAATGAGAGATTATGGGATTGAACCAGAAGCTCAGCACTATGCCTCTTTGGTGGACTTGCTTGGACGAGCTGGAAAGTTACAGGAAGCAGTTTCTGTGATCAAACAAATGCCAATGCAGCCCACTGAATCTGTTTGGGGAGCTTTGTTGACAGGATGCAGAATCCATAAAGATACAGAAATGGCAGCTTTTGTGGCTGAAAGAGTATTAGAATTGAATAGTACTAGCTCAGGTTTACATGTTTTGTTATCAAATGCATATGCTGCTGCTGGAAGATATGAAGAAGCGGCTCGGATGAGGAAACTGTTGCGCGATCGAGGAGTGAAGAAGGAGACGGGTTTGAGCTGGGTTGAGGAGGGAAATAAAGTTCATACATTCACTGCAGGTGATAGATCTCATGCTAGATGGGTAGAGATTTATCAGAAACTGGAAGAGTTGGAGGAGGAAATGGCGGAAGCTGGCTATGTTGCTGACACGAGTTTTGTGCTACGAGCAGTCGACGGTGAGGAGAAAAGCGAAACGATTCGGTTTCATAGCGAAAGACTGGCCATTGTGTTCGGGCTGATTACCTTCCCACCAGGAAGACCTATAAGAGTTATGAAGAATTTGCGTGTTTGTGGTGATTGTCATGCAGCTATAAAGTTCATGTCCAAATGCACTGGAAGGGTTCTCATTGTTAGAGACAACAACAGATTTCATCGGTTTGAGGATGGAAAATGCTCATGTGGCGACTACTGGTGATTGATATGTAATTTAAGGAACAGATCTCAATCTACTACGTGAGCAAGTCACTCCTTAATGCTTCGAAAGGTCAACAGATTCTAAGGTAAGGATTGAACCATCAGACTTTTGATATAAAAATTAATGTCTTTATCCATCGAGCTAGATCTAGACTAGATACTTATCATTATAGTTTATGGTATAGGAAGAAGTTTGATTTGATATCTCTTACAAATTGAAAAGTTCTATTATCCTCGGATCTCGACTCTTCACTATATTATTAGATTATGTTATTTTGACTTTACATTTGTTTTAGATGATCATATTTGAGTCTGAGTTATTTGCTTTAGGGATTAGAAGGATTAGTATTTAACTAGTGTGAATAGTTTATTGGAGTAGCATCTATAATGCAACTTTTAGAACAAAATATCAAAAGAGAACCAAAATAAAAGCATCCATTTCCAAGAGATTATAGAAAGATTTGGGGACATGAATATTATCTGGAGATTATTTAAACAGAACTGATCCTTCAAACAAATCAACATCAATTGATTACGACTTGACCATTAGAAAATAACCCCAAATTCCCATAACCTAATCATTCCATTGGGATAACCTACAAAAGAATACAAGTGTTCTTATCTTCACATTAAAGAAGGGCCAAAAAAACCCCACTATTTGGGAATCAAGTTCCTTCTCCAAACAAGTTTCCAATCAGGCCCTCTCATAGAGTTATTGATAGTTTGTAGATTTGATGGATAAAGATATGGGAGAATAATAAGGAAGTGGGAAATGCTTGGTTTAGTGAATGAATGAAGTGATGAATTAAGATGTGAATGTGATAGGATGTTCATTACAATTAATAAACATGATGCTCCTCACAACAGGGATTTTGAGAGAAAAATAATAAATGGCAACCTTATAGATCTAATTTTTTTTTTCAAAATATTGAAAGCAAAAGAATAAAACCTAACCTGGGTTCTAAATTTTTCGACATTAATAACTAAGAGGTTTTCTCACCTTCCTGACTTTCTGTAGTACTAAAAATGGTGAAAATGAATCATCTCCTTCGAGTGAGGGTCGGGGTCACACTAACTACCCCTCCCCCTTTGCCTTGTTACTAAGGATCTTTTTCTTCCCATGCCCGACGACAAAAATCGAAAAAAAAGGCATGTTATATACCAAAATATAACTGTCGTTAACTACCTCCATCAAAACGACTTTAGTTCTGTAGCGCGACGAGATGATCGAGCTGCATTTGTTCCAGCCATGCTCCTAATGCAGCATGATCGACTGACTCCATTTGCGAGTTCACGTTAGAACTCTCACCAGAAGATACGACACTATCGCCACCCAAATTTGGATGAGCCTGCTTTTCTTTTATCTCAGTTGGAGATTCTTTCACTAGTGATTGAACCCATGATAAATCTGGCTCTTCGCCGTTGTTCCCAAGCTCAAATGATGATGAACGTCGAAGTTTACCCATTTCATCCGCATTGACTGCCCAGTCAGGCCTTCCATTAGAAGGTCCCCATTTAGACCAAGAGCTTGCAGGGGAACCAACAATAGAAGCAGAATTGGCACCGAGTTCACGGGAGCTGAGGCTGCGAAACTGTTGCTGTTTCTCTCTTTGAGCTAACATGGACAAGCGTGAGCCCACTGGAGAGATGGGGGGTTCCAGATTTCGTGGAGACATCCTCCCAGATGATGGAACCCCAAAAGAGGCTTGCAATAGAGGATGATCAACATTTTTAGGAGAGAAATTTGTATTGATTGGTGACAACATATTCTGTTGCTGCTGAAATTGATTGATAACTGCTGATTTGTGTGTAGGGGAGAAAACAGCTGAAGCCAGAGCTTGATCAGAGTATCTGGGAGATGAACTCTCAGCAGAGAAGAGATCGTCAAGATTTGAAGGGGTCATAGTTTTCAGTCGACCAGAACGGCTCAATGAATTTGAACTTAATGGTGGTTGAGAAAGACAATTCAAGTCATTTACGAGCTGCTGCTGCTGCTGCAGTTCGAAATCACTCAGATAATCGAAGTCCTCGACAGGAATATCTCTTGCACTCAAGGAAGATCTTAGGCGGCTGGATTGAATATTGCTTCCTGGAAGAAGCAAGGCAGGTACATTTGGTTGGGGCCAAGCCATGGACGGATGAGACATGCCATTGGCAGATGGAGACATCGGAGGAGTGAATGGTGATGGAGACATCACAGGGACCGAAGATGGAGAACCAGGTAGAAGGTTCATGACTGTAGTATAATCCATAGCAGAAGCCCCAGAAGTACAAGAACGTGGTGAGGGAACAGCAGAGCCAGTCGAAACATACAGAGGTCGCAGTTCCTCAGTGGTGTGTGCAAAGAAGCAAACTCTCCTTGAGCAATTTGTGCCATCTTTGCAAAGGCGGGTTCGATATTGTGCTGGGTGCAGCCAACACTCAAACACCCCATGAGCATATTCGCACATATCTCCCCGTCTGCAAGCACCCTTCCGAAAATCAGGACAGGTTACACAGCTATAATGGAACTTTCTAGGATCCCTCCTCCTAGCATTTTCTCCAGGGTGGACAAAGGGACACTCAGTCCAATCATGAGAGTAGGCACGTGAGCAAGGTCGAACCTTGAACGAATACATTCGGAATTCATCAGTTGAGTAGATACTGTTCTTGATATCTGGAAGAGAAAGATCGACAGGGTATTCTTTCTTCTCAGATGCAGGATACATCGAAAAATCACTTAGTTTCGACTTTGTTGGAGATGAAACTAACTCCGATGCGAACGAGGGAGCATTCAGAGGAGACGAAGGGCGAGGAGAAAGAGAATTTCTAGCACCTGTTAAAACATCAAGATTTCCATCACCAGAGAAACCATTTGTCTTAAGAAGTTCGGTAAGGGTTGATTTAAGCTCAGCGTGCCTTAGCGGGGCAACAACCACATCAACCGGTCGATGTCCATTCCCATCAACCATATTAGGATCAGCACCAGCAGCTAAGAGCAGCTTCACTATATCTACAGCATCCGCAGCCCCACCAGAGGCTGCACAGTGAAGGGCAGTGCTTCTATCAAGACCTACAGCGCGGTTCACATCAGCACAAGAAAGAGAAAGAATAAGCTTCAGAACCTCAATGCTACCATAAGTAGCAGCAACCATTAAAGGAGTTCTCTGCTCATTAGTCATCTGCTTCGAGCCTCGTAATCGACCATACCAGAAACCAATCTCATCAATGCCAGAAAGATCACGCTCAATCGATCTCTTGAAGGCATCAACATCATCATTAGCAGCAAGCTCGAGCAAGCTCGAAAAGGCATCTTCCGTTTCAACAGTCAAGTTATTCATGGTTGAGTCCAAGGGCTGAAGCAATCAAATGTACAGAAGAAATTACTCAAAGACAATATGGGCTTCAGCTCCAAACCACAAAACATGCTTCCTTCATTGAGAGAAAATGGCAGCTGAACTCAAGAAACCATGCCACAAAAAAGAGTTCAAAATTTAAGATGAGAAACAATCAACATGACAGTATAAAAAGAGGAAGGAACAGTAAGCAAATTACTGGAGCAGAATAAGATTCCAGTAAACAAAAATATAAAACACAAGAAATGAATCATATATAGCAAAGAGAAGTGGGTATCAAACGAATATGAAGATAAGGGCTTTAGTCAGATTCAGCAGATTCTATGGGCACCAAAATACAGACAAATTCCTAGAACAGGTTCCTAAATTCTATTAGAAGAAAAAGAAAAGTCACGAACACAAGAAAATGGAAATACAAATTGCTAAATAGAATTTTATATTTGGTGTGAAGGATTACGGGGAAATTTACGAACAGGATCAAAACCGTTAATTATTCTCATATGATCCTAAATCCTCAATCCAAAATTAGTAGAAAAAAAAATCTTTCTGAATTTCAATTATTTTTCAAGGAGTTCATCCTGAATTTAATTTATATTTCAAAAAATAATAAACAAACAAAAATAAAAATAGAATTCTTTTTTAGGAGTCAACAGTCAATAATAATTTTGTAAAAACAAAAATATAAACTCTATATTAAGAATTAGGACTACAAGAAGAAAAAAAAAATCCCCCAGGATACTCGATTTCAAAGCGATCCAAGGCATTAAATCCAAAAACCAAAACAAAATGGATCAAACACCAGACTCAGACAAACAAAAACAGAAAAAATCTAAGAATCAAACCATGGATCGATCATCAAACAGTCCTTAACAAAATCAAGCTCAATCCAAATCCCAAAATCATAAGAAAATGGTAAAAATCAACAAATATCAGCTAAGATCAATCAAAGAGCAATCGAAGTGTTTCCAAATGTTTCCATTTCGTTAGGTTACAAGAACATCGCGAATCAGAACGAGAGACGAAAAGAACATCGCAACTAGGGATCGAAGAAGAGGGAGAAAAAATCATACCAAAAACTAGAGGAGAAAAGGAAGTGAGCGATGATTCAACGAGCGAGAGAGATCGATCCAAAGCTTGGAAGAGAGCATTTGACTCTGGGGAGTGAGAAACTGCGAGTAGAGAGAGCGAAGAAGACGAGAGCTTGTTCTTCCTCCATCTCCAACCCCAATGTTTTTGCTTTCTCATGGAAAATAAAATAATTGTAATTTAAAATACCCAAAAAAAAACTTTATTCATTTTTCTTTTTTTATTTATTTATTAAATTATATTATTTTCCTCGTTTGAGAAAATCGCCTATCCGATATCAGCAAAAGAGGACTCAAGGGGAAAAAAACACAAAAACAAAGCGCACTGGGCAATGTTCCTCTACTCCGCATTTATATTCCGTATTCAACCTTTTTTCTACCCATCCAATGACATCTCGCCAAGAGTCAATTAGGGGTAGTTTCGTCATTTAAGGGTAGCGTGGGATTATTTGATTTGTTGGATCACGATAAAATAATGAGGCTGCACAGAGGAAGTTGAAGCCTTGGAAATAATTTAACCGCATCCATTTGTGTCAAATTCCAGGCAAATTCATCCTAAATTCACTCGACATGAAAGTTAAAGTGGATGCGGGGCAGTAATCCACTGCGACCCGCCACACTATAATCTTCCGAAGTATCTAATGACGTGGCGAAAATATATGCTGATTTTTCAAAAATATTATTTTCGTCTTGTATTTTCATCCATTTTTTATTTTTAAAAAACTATACTTCTTTTCTGACCTTACATTTTAATTCATATTTATTAAAAAAAGGTCTTTAGAAAATAATTCTTTTAATTTCCGAAATTTGTCTGAGTTTTTTAAAACACCCTAATCCATAGATAATAAAATAAATTTAAAATATATATTAACAAATAATTATCAGTCTCAAAATATTTTTTATAAATTTTAAAAATATATTTATATTATCTTATTACTTACTTAATTTCTTTTTTAAAAAAAAAAAAACCTCAAATAACTAGTTTTCAAAGAGTAAAATAATCTTATTGATCATTTTAGAAAAATAAAATAAAACTGAATATGCAGCTCGCACGTGGGAAAGGTGGCCACTGGAAGACGGCTACGTGGTGGAACAGTGTGGGCATGAATGCAGAGGATAGAAAAATGTGGATTTGGGGGAGAACCGGGAACCGGGGAGAACGGTGGAATAGAAAGACGGATAACCGGTTAGGTAAGTAAAGAGGGGAGAAAAGGGAACAGGGAGATCCCGGTGATGGGCGCGCGCGTGCGTAAGGTCGAATAAATCAGAATGTAATGAAGGCTGGCGTCCGCCAATAAGATAGATTCGGGCTCTGGATCTTATCGTACGGAAGCGGACATCAGATGGTAGTCAATTCCGGTTAATTGACGAGTCAAATCACAAAGATTGGGAAAATAAATTGGTATATTATTTTTTAAAAAATAAAAATTAATTGGTTTCCCTTTATAAAGTTATAAATAACACCAAAAAATCTAGTATCAATTAAACTATTATTAAATATTTGATGCAATTTATTAAAAAAATACAATAAGTTCATATCTTTTAAAAAAATTAAAAATAAATTGACTAAATTTGAATAATTTTAGTAGGTTAATTAAAATAAAATAAAATAATATTTTTCATGTATTTATTAATTTATAAGGAAGCTTGGAAAAAAAGGGGAAAAAGTTGAGTAATGTGGGCTATTATGGGAGTTGACCAAAAATAATAAAGTTGGAAGGAGGGGAAATGATAGGGTACGGCGCGGTAGTAGGGGAAGAATGGTGTGAGTAAAAATGAGGAGGTGGGGCCCAGGTGGTGGGACCAACTCCAGATTTTGCAGTTAAGACGTGGAAGAACGAAGAAGAAAATAATTATATATATATATATATATATATATATATATATATATATTTGTTTATTTATTTATTTATTATTTTAATAATTAAAATCTAGGAACGAAGGGAACAATCACGTGCCTTTCAAACACAAAAACAGAGTGGATAAGGACAACGTTGGACTCGACCTTCCTGAGTGTCCTGCCATTTCACACATCGACCCGACCCGACCCGACTCGGCTCAACCTTTTTTTTTTTTTTAATTTAATTTTATTGCTTTTATTGTGGTAATATTGGAAATTCAAATTTAACTTTTTCTTAATAATAATAATAAATGTGTGTTTAATCAAATTTAATTTTGTGGGTAATTTTAATTTTATTATTTATAATTATTGGCATGAAAAATTACAAATTTTTTAAATTAATATATTTAACGAACTCATTTTTTTAATATTAAAATTGATATAAAGGTGACGAAAAACTGCCCAAAAATAATAATAATAATAATAATAAAATAATTTAAACTGTAAAGGGAGAAATAAAAGAAGGAAAAAGAAAAAGGAGGGGTAAAATTGAAATATTGTTTTCATATTTTCCTAAAAAGAAGTGAAAAAAGAAAGCATTTTTAAATTATATTTTAAATTTTTATTAATTTTAAAACAAGCTTTCAATTTATTAAAAAAAATATATGGTAGATTGAGAAGGAGAGAAAATAGAAAAATAATTAATTTTCTTTTAAAAAAAAAAAAAGGTTTATAAAACGGTGGGGCCCACAGAAGTGTGTGTATGTTTTTTCATTGAGTGGTGGGGCCAAGGGAGACACGTGGCAAATAATGGTTGCATCGACGGCTACAATCAGAAGATTATTTGTGTGTGTTTGGTGGTGGAATTATTAATAATTAAAGAGGGTTATGTTATTGGAGTGAAAACGAAAGGATAAGCAAATAATAATAATAATAATAATAAATAAATAAATAAAGCGATTAGCTTATAATTCTCAAAAATTATCTGACCATTTTACCCATGATTCTGTAATTTTGAATTAAATTTTATTTAGAAAAAATCAAATTTTGATTTGTTTTAACTTTATTTTATTGACTTTATATTGATTTTGTTTTTAACGAAAAAGATATATATTGGTCTATGAAGATAGTCTTTCATTCTGAGAAGCAATTCAAGACAAATTGGTAATATAGTCCGTCATGTCGCAAATAATGTCGTGAAATTTCAAACTACTAGTTGCTGAATCAAAATTCCAAATTCTGGTTCAAATATCGAGTATGAGACATTACAAAGATGGATTTTTTTTCACGTTTGGTTCGTTTCAAATGCTCAATAACATCGATCTCTACAAATTACCTAACAAGGTTGTCTTAATCTTCTCGTTCTTAAATATTTTAATTCCTATTATATTATTATTAGACTCTTTTTCATACCATATAGACATATGCATGTAATTGGATCATATTGAATGGCCTCCATGTTTGGTAAATTTGCTTAAATTTCAATTTTTCTTAATTTTGAATCTCTTTCCTTATTTTGATTTTCAAACTTTTGCTTCACTTTTAGAGTTTGAATATTTTTTGGAAAATTTATTTTCAATTTTCAATTTTTAAATTTGTTTTTTCTTGGTAGCTATGCATTTTGTTTATGTTATTTTAATTATATATATTTTTCTCCTTATGACATCATTTTTGTCGCCCCATAAATTATTTCATATATGTTAAAATACTATAATAAAAGATAGTTCGATTTGAAGCTATACCTAAAAAGGTTTATTCCTACCTTTATGTGAAATTTGTAAGTCTCTTTTTTTTTTTTTTTTTTTTTAATTTTAAGAAAAACTTAAATATAAACACTGCCTACATGCAATACCACAGTATAGGAACGAAGCATTCTTGTAAAGGTGTGGAAACTTCTCCTTATTAGACATGTTTTAAAACTGTGAAGCTGACTATATAACAAGTCAAAGTAGACAATATCTGCTAGTAATGGGTTTGGAGCATGATGCGACTACTAATCAGACACAAAATTTCATATAAATTTTAAAAAAGTATTAATCAAAGTGTGCATCTTACCACTTGATCAAATTTTAAGTTTAGTTTGATGTGTATTCTTGTTCATAAGTTGAAATACTTTATAAATTAGTCAGACAAAGCATGTTGTATATTGTATGGTGGAATGACAAAGATTGATGCATATATGGCCACAAATTATAAACTAATCAAACAATTTGAATGACCCAATCAATATTATAGGTAATTATAATCATAACCAGTTTGAATTTAGTGTATTTTGAATATGAAATTTCATTGAAACAAGGGTTAAGGTTAACGAAAAAAATATAAGCGTATCATAGAATATCATGTTTAGTAGAATGCGTCTAAAAAAAATTACGTAATATTAGACTTGAATGAGTACGACTTTCCATGTGCAAATAAATTAATTATAAATCCTAACTTTGTTTATATTCATAAGTTTGGTTCGTTAATTTAAAAATTAATGGTGAGTTCTATAAACATGCAACTTTTTCTTTTCGATTTCTATCCCGACAGCCCTTGGCCAAAACTACGTGTGCAAATTTCCCTAGAAAAATGTTACTATCTGGCATGAGCTTTAACCATTGAGAGAGCTTCAAACTCTTTCTACATCCTAGAGAAAATCATCTTAAAAATCCAGGCTAGAACGTTTTTTTCCTCAATTTGAAAGATGGTTCTTGCCAAGTAAGTTTGGGGGAGTGGACACAAATTTAGATGACAAAGATAAAAATTATCTTCCAACTACAAGTTGAAAGATTTCCTTTGATATCAATCTATTGATAGTATATATTTTATGTTAGTTGTGTTGTACTCATTTTAAAAAGTCCAATATTTACGTATATAAAGATTTCTCATAGAATCTTGGAGCATGGTGTAACAGTCGGGCTTGAGCTGTTACACCTTGGCCCCGAGTACAAACAAGGTTAAGCTTGATGACTTGGTCTAGTGTAGAGGTAAGTTGGTTGTGTCAGACGATTGAACATGCACGCATAAGCGACATGCGTGGTCGAACAAGCTTGGATTCAACACAAGCAATGCTCAGTTGACAAAGACAAGCCTCGTCTAAGGTCCGACAAAGCTACCAAATCGGGCGAAAATGTAGATGGGACTTGAGTTCCCCTTAAAGGCTGGTCGTGAGCATGTCAAGATCACGACGCCGCACGGTTGAAAAAGTACAACCGTGACACATGGTTTTCCAAAATCCCGAATCAAAAGATTATTTTAAAATTTCTCCCCTCCTTCCTGGGAGGGCCTTGAAAGTGATTTTGAAAGGAATAAAATTATTAAAAATATCTTACAAGTTAGCAACCGGTTCCAATGGGCTGAACTCTAGAGAGGTAGGACCCCAGTCAGTATCACTACGTGCATAAGTAACCGCATAAACTTAATAAATGACTATAAAATTCCTAATTTGAGAAAGCATCTCCAGGGTTTTTCAGGGTAGAACAATGCATTGAACCCAACTTTCAAGTAATCATCAGACTTTCAAGATTCAAGTATAGAGAGGGAAACATAACCTTTCAGATGCATACCAGATCTTTCTCATTCTTGTTTAAAGAATGTGAGAGAAAAGCTCCTCCAGATCATTTGCGACCGCTCCAAGTTTTTGAGAAAAAACTGCATCTTTCACATCGATGTTGTTCGTATATACATCGGCCGCCTTGATCGCCATGTACTCATACAGGTTGTGAATAGTTCCATCTGATATCCAGGACAGTACATGAGGAAACATCAAAAGAATATCGTCGTCAACCTTGAGTTCAAACAAGTAAAGCCAAGGACATTCAATAGATATTCTATCTAGAAACATTTTAGATTTCAAACTTCAAAACCGGTTTTGAACAATAAACTAAAAATCAAAATTAATGGTTTCTTCCACGTGGGATCTCATATTGGTTGGGGAGAAGAATGAAACATTCTTTGTAAGGATGTGGAAGTCTCTCCTTAGCAGACGCGTTTTAAGAACTTCGAAAACCTCGAGTGAAAGCTCAAAAGGGAAAGCCTAAAGAGGACAATACTGCTAGTGGTGGGCTTGGACCATTACGAATGGTATCAGAGTCAGACACCGGGCGATGTGCCAGCAAGGAGGCTAAGCCCCAAAGGGGGGTGGACATGAAATAGTGTGCCAACAAGGACGCTGGCCCCAAAGGGGTGGATTGAGGGGTCCCATATCAATTGGAGAAGGGAACGAGTGTCAGTGAAGATGTTGGGCCCTAAAGGGGGTGGATTTTTAAATCCCACATCGGTTGGGGAGAGGAGAATGAAACATTCTTTATAAGGGTGTAGAAACCTCTCCCTAGTAAATGCGTTTTAAAAACCTTGAGGGGAAGCCCAAAAGAGAAAACCTAAATAGGACAATATCTGCTAGCAATGGGTTTGGGCCGTAACAAGGTAACTCTCCCTCACTTGAAAAAAAAAAAAGGCATTTCTTGAGGACAGACATTTTTTAAACTTTTCCGGGACCAAGGCCAAATGTTCACCTCACAACCCAAGAGAGACGCCTAAGAAGACAGCTTAGAGAGTTCACAATTAATAGACAGGTTGGATGACATAGCCACAATCATCATGTAACCAATAGTAAGCTTTCTAGTTCCTAAAACTCCTTACAAATATGGTAGGGAAGCCTGGTCTAGAAATTGATCCACTTAAGACAAATAAGTGACAAAGCAAAGCATGCAACAATGGTGTTTGATTCAACACGTAATTTTCCAGAATCGTTAATGCCGCCCAATTTAAGAGTTATCAAGTTTTTCAACACAGTTCTTTGCCAAAAAATAATAAAATAAACAAACAAATAAATAAAAATGAAACTCAGAAGCAATCACCAACCAGCTTATCATCAACACAAACAAGCATCAACGGCGTACATGAACATGATATTGGATTACCCATTAGGGGCAGGCATTTACCTTCAGCAACAATGGCTTCGTAGTCAGGGGGTTTAGCAATCCAATTTCCATTGGAATCTTTCATGTGCCTTCTATCAGATGCGAAGTGACGAAAAAATATTGGAGCATGGATGATTCTGAAAAGCCTGTCCCCAGGAATATCAGCTTTTGATTAAAATCAACATGAGTCAAGCTTGAGTTACACTTTTAAGAACACATAGTCCCAAATGTTTTTCGACCAATAAAATGCAACGACCTGATAATTGTGACGTATGCATTAGAAAAAATAAAAGTTGTAGCTGACGGGCTTTACCTTTGATACTCGGGGGAGATTTGAAACGATGGCCTGATAGCTTGCGACACGTAGCTGCCCAGAGGGATAGGTAAAGGAAGAGTGGAGTCTAAATCCCACACTATAAAAGGAAATACACCTTCTGTTTTTCTCTGTCAATTGAAATGAGCTCAACATCTCAAAAGTAGAAAACAATAAAAGCTTGCAACAATGATCAAAATAAAGATCTGATGCCACTCGCTGAGTAATTACGACTCGAACAACTATTATTAAAGCAGGATAGACTATCTTACCTGAACGCAAATCACATGGTAATCCCACAAAACAAGACCATCTTCTCTTTTGCTGGCTTTTTGATGCCAAAGGGGAATCTACACAATTTTTTTGGGGGAGTGGGAGGAGTTAGAATTATAATTTGTTAACAAGGTTTTCACTCAGGGAAAGAGGAATTTTAACAAAATTTTATCTAACCAGAACAAAATGATCAATACCGGGCTTAAAAGTAATCTTGTTCGAGAGCAAATACTTCATTTGCAATAAGAAACAAGACAACAATTTCATTGATAAAATGAAATGAAAAGAGAAACAAGAGAAGCCTTTCAGAAACCCGTAGGGCAGAAGATTAAAAATCACATCCAAGTGAGAGCTACACAAGAGATTGTGTAGTTACAAAAATGAATTAGAAGGGGAACTCCAACAGGAAACAATGAAAACTACGAGGTGCCAAATGTTTTTAACCGTCTTCTACTATTCTAAACAGCTTTCTGTTTCTTTCTATGAACTTCCCATAAGAGAACATGAATAGAATTCCTCAAGAATCTTCGTATCAGTAACAGCCCAAGCCCAACGCTAGCAGATATTATCCGACTTGGCCCGTTACATATCATCGTCAGCCTCACGGTTTTACAACACGTATGCTAGGGAGAGGTTTTTCACACTCTTGTAAGGAATGTTTCGTTCCTCTCTTCAACCATGTGGGATCTCACAATCCACCCCCTTTAGGGCCCAGTGTCTTCGCTAGCACACCGTTCGATGTCTGACTCTGATACCATTGTAACAGCTCAAGCTCGCCACTAACAGATATTATCCGCTTTGGCCCGTTGCATATCGTTGTCAGCCTCACAGTTTTAAAAAGCATACGCTAGGGAGAGGTTTCCACACCCTTATAAGGAATGCTTCATTCCCCTCTCCAACCAATGTAGGATCTCACAATCCACCCCCAAGCACTGGCACACCGTTCGGTGCTCGACTCTGATACCATCTGTAACAGCCCAAGCTCACTGCCAGCAAATATTGTCTGCTTTGGCCCGTTACATATCGCCATCGATCTCACGATTTTATAACGTGTTTACTAGGGAGAGGTTTCCACACTCTTATAAAGAATGTTTCGTTTCTCCTCTCCAACCAATATGGGATCTCATAGTATTACTATTAACCTAGGGCTACCAGTGGCCAAAAATGATACTTCGAATAGCAATAAGAAATGCCTAGAGTCATTTAGCAGAACTGATTCATCCTCAGAAATGGCCAAATCACTAGAGAAAGAATAACATACGTGCCTGCTTCTTCTCATTAGAAATGAAAACAACAAAAAGATCAGCTCCCGTTGCATCATCCATTCTGTTTGTACATAATTTCTTGCATAGAAAATATACATTCTCCTCACTGCAAAATCGAAAGCACAAAACACTTAATTACACTTCCTTCTCGTCAATGAATTAGCGCTATGAGGTCAAAAGCCTGGGATCGAGCCCACAATAAATCCTCTTCAGCATTTTAGAAACACGAATTCAAGACTGTATTATAAGTATGAATCTCCATTATTAATAAATATACCCTATCCGATTCCGGAGAAATTTTCGCAGCATATCGTAAGAAGAACCTCATGAAGATATTAACAAAAAAAAATGTATAAGAACAGAGAAACAATGATAAAATAAAGAATAATTCACATGAAGGATTCAGCAGATGGACGAAAAGGATCGTCGATTGATTACCAGTAAAAAGGCGTATGGCAGAACTGAGAAACGTCCAAATCAATCGATTCTACAGTTGATGGTGTGGAAGCCATGGCTCAATCGGCTAGAGCCTGAATCCCTTGGGAAAACGAAGTTCCTTCAGAAATCCGTTCCCATTTTCGAGCGGGAATGCTTTCGAGCAAACCCATTTTTCTCTAAACACTTTCAATAAAAACGCTGAAACTTACAGTTACCAAATATTGTTTGTCTATTATGTATTATCTTCAATTTTATAGTTTTATAATGTGTTTATAGAAGGGTCTAGCTTATTTCGATTATTACCTCCCACCGCTCGGTGTCCAGCTCTTATACCATTTATAACAGCTCAAGCTCGCAGTTAGTAGATATTGTCCACGTTAGCTCGTTTCATCACCCTCACAATTTTAAAAAAACACGTCTATTAAGAAGAAATTTTCACGTCTTTATTATAAATATTAAAGTCAAATATTTTATGTCTACTCACTATTTCTATAATACCACAATCAGATCAGATTGAAGGGACGGATAAGAAAAGGTCATAAACGACTAGAGGCACGTTTTTTTTTTTTTTTTTTTTTTT